TCAATATACAATGTGCAGTAGTCCTTCCCAGTTTCATGATTTCCAATCTTTTGTAAAGCTTATGCTAGCAATGATTTAATAGATTTCCAAACTTATAAATATTTGCCATCTGTTGGTATATATGGATCAGGCATGCCTGTTTACCCACCTCCAACACTTTCTTAATTAATGCAGTAGAAACCCAACTCTTTCATCGCCCATAATTAACGCCACATTTATGAGTGCTGTTTGTCACAATTTCATCCGCCATCTTTATCTTAATCATTAGCAGTCTGTAGCTGTTTGTTATTACCAAGAGCACTTAGTTGCCTTAATCCAAAATAATCAGTCTTTCAGTCATCAAAAAATAAGATTTACATTGCTTAGCCTAATTATTTGGTTAAATGGACTCACTTCTGCACGACAGCAGAGTTTTCCATTGTCACACCCTTTCCAACTGCTATGTTAGAAGGCGTAAATGGAAAGCCTGTATTTGAGGTAAGACAACTCGTTTGAACTTGGTCAAGCTCAATTTGTAAATAGCAGATAAGGCGCAACCGCATCCATCAGCCTGTTCGGCTAACAAATGATGAGACGTGGGCTGAAACCCAGAAAACTTTGGAGAATAAGGGAGGGAAATAATGACTAGCGTGCATTATCGTATCAGCAGACTTACACACAGGCAACATACCTGAATTTTAGCAGACTCATCTAACCAGTCGCCTGCACTTTGTGGTTACAGAAGAAAAGTGTGTCCCAATCGACCCGAAATCACACAAAGTCGTCTGTTTGATTAACAGGATACTTGGAGAAGTATGTATTATAAGAATTATTTTGGCAATGCGACTACCATTTAATTACTTCCTCCTTGACCTCTTTGCTGAGGGAAATCGCATATTAGATCCACTTCACTTGTTTCTTTTCATTCTTTCTTAAATAAGTGATATTAAAAGAATGTAATTGAGATCCCTACTGGAAGTCCAAAATTATATTTTGCCCATCTAAAAGCATAAATCAGAGCTAGTGTCACACAAAGTAAAGTGACAAAATTAAATTCAGAATGACTTATTAGACATAAGGTTTAAATTAGGCAATTTTAGGGGTCAATTCTATAGCTTCTGCTAATTAGACTGCGTTTTACTTAAGATCTCTTTGCTAACAACAAAAGCAATGTGTGTTTATACCGCACCTTTTGAAATGATAGCAAAGATTGTTCAATTTTTAAAATTAAAATTCCTACCGTTACAACAGCACTACTCAAGGATTAACATAATAATTAACACTATCAGTTTTAATGCACCCACTTGGTAGCCCAAAATGACTTTTCAATCTACTATTAATGGCGAATCAGTGGACTTAGTAACGGTTTACTCATTTTAAATAGTGTCAAGGATATACCACTACCATCAGAAATTGGTTTGGAAATGCCAGAGGCTAGATTTCTTTCCAAATATTGGCCTCAAACTTACGAAGTTAAATAAACTACTAACAGGCTATAATATTTAAATAATCCGTAAAATCTACTGAACCAAAAAATATTGACCCTTGTTCAATGCAATGTTCAGTGTAAGCAATGAGATAATTGGTTCAGAGCAAAATCAGCAGGAAAGGTCTCCAAATCTGCTAAATCGAAAACTAAAAAGATTCTCACTTTGATGTTGTTCACACTTTTCGAAAGCTATATAAAAAGTGCCGTTGGAAAGGACTGTATAATGACTAACTGAGTGTCTTATTATCAAAAAAGGCTTATTATGAGAAGAATCTGCCAATGATTATCCCTTACCAATTCGCTCACCATACACCTCACAGCTGCGGAAAGGCTGCCTTTGCTTTTGCATGTGTGATGGTCATTAGAGGTAATTGCCCACTATGAGCTGTTCAGCTGTTGAAGGCTAACCAGTCATTGTTGAAATTCACATCCTTGGTATGACTTAAGGGAGTGTGGGGATGTTTAAAACGATTTTTTTACAAACTGCTAGGCCTAGTCATTCTGCACAAAAAGTTTAAATTTCCTTAAGACATCCCACCATCCTAACTTTGATTCGCGAAACTGACTGATGGGAAGATCTGCACTTTATGGTTGAAGGTAGACAAAGAAGAAGATAGGAAGGATGATAAAGAGCTATTTTCCGTATCTCTCCTAGGGATATCTCTCCAAATCAACGTCAGCGTAGTTTCTTGACCCTAGAAATAATGCACTCCTGATAGTCGCATTTAAAATAGGGTAGGTATTTGTAATGTGAAAGAGAAATAGAAACGGAGGAGGCAAAAGCCAAGCTTTTTATTGATAAGGCTAGTCCTGTGTTTCAGTTAGATTAGCTTGTAGGGTGTGTTAAAGAATAATTCTTTGGAAAATTTTTGTTCTATTTATAAACTGCATTAAAACATTTGACCTCTCTACATGTAGATACCTCAAACAAACTTTGATTAAATGCAACAATTCTGTAAGATCAAACCAAAATAACATACATCTCTAAATTTTTACTAGTTATAGTAGCCCCAGAAGAATAGGTTATTTTAAAATCTACTTTTGTAAAGCATACGTCTGCATTTTAAAGTGCTTCGTTTGTAATCAAAAGTCCCAGCATTTATTTATGGGACCATCTATGGCGACTGTACAATGAGTATGATGCGTTCCCGCCATCCTGCCCAATGCATTCTAGTTTCAAAAAGCATTTAAAGATGACTTTTCTTTACCATATAGATTAATATAAATAAGAATAAAACCACTATGCTTCGTGTTTACGTCGGATTTCACTTCCTCTAGATATTCAAACGGGGGCTAGACGTGAAGATAACCTAAGGCAAAATGCTATATTTTAGAGCATCATCATACTTAGTGCTGACAGTTGTGACAATAAAACTAAGTCATAAGGCAAAGGGGACTCACAGAACTGATTATGCATTTCTACCAATAACCATAGATGTTTATGCCCCAATAATGTCTTGCACTACCAGAAGAGAAAATTACCTTTTTATGGAAAGTTATTTCTGTGGAACACATAGGACATATTTTGCAGTGGTGTTTTCAAGGCCGTTTGATTGGTTCTTTTATGTTAAGCATATTTTAAGTGCAGAATTAATTCTTAGTTTGTCAAGGAAAACTTTTACATCAGCTAACCGGTACTGAAGTAAAGCATAAACTGAAAATGGGACCATTATCTCCATGTTGGAATAACGTTATTCAGATAAAAACTTTTCCGTTATTTCCCTAACAAATACTGTCTTGTGAGTGACCATTTAATTCATAAATCGCAATTGAGCATTACGGTTACATTGCAACTCTTGTGAAGACGATGTACAAAGTAGGCAAAGCCATGCAAATCCTCATAAATGTACATTTAATTTAACGCTCTTTACTAAGCATGAGGCAGAGTAAAAAGTCATAACCAGGTACTACCAGGTACGAAGTAACGTGAAAACATGTACAAGCAGCACAAAAAGACCTCGGTATTCTTCTCATCGTAGGACTTTTTGGTTAAATTAAAAGGGATTTAACACAATAAAGCATAGTAAGAAATATCTTTTGCTAATCAAGCTAACGATCATTAATTTACTGTTATTCTTGTACTTGTGATAATACAAACTAATGTTAGAGGATTTCTCACTTAATGCAGACACATTAGTTGCCTATTCATATTTTGAATGTGTAACTTGCCAAAGGAGTACCACATTAAGAAGTTAACTTAAATTTATAGCAAATGTCAGTGCAAACACCGAATTGGCTAATAAGGTAGGTAGACAACCAGCTGCAGCAATTATGAATTCAAGCAAACAATAAAATAGAACAAATTATAATCAACTGAACTTTTACCTTAAGAAATTGTAGAAGGGCCCTCAACTAGAGCAAACTTCCCTCTCTCAGGCGGGTTGGTGTAGTTTTTGGCAGATCGCGCCAAACTGACCCACTGCAACCTTAAAATACACCTGACTGTTTACACTCATCTCCTATAATGTATGTAGGTGTTGCCTATGTGATGGTCGGGCGATACGATAAGGTAGGGCGCCCTTAATCGTGACCTCTTACCCAAGGAATTTTTTCCACTTTTAAGTCTCTTCCCATCAAATGTAAGTTAAGCAGGGCTGGTGGACGTGGTTGTGACTTGTCTGCTACTCTACGAACCGAGTTAAATCTCAGAGGCATTTCTTCCATTTATACCTCCTGGCATAGCATTTGGAAAATGTGTAACAATGGTCGAATTTAGTGCCACACAGGAGTGGCTCTAATTGAGCCATTAGGCAGGTTAACAATAATGTTTTGATGATAGATGGCTAAAAAGATGAGTTGATTTGAGGCGAACACTTTGCTGTGGATAATAGCGAAGAGCTAGGGATTGCTGATGACAAAAATAAAGATCGCTGATAAGGGTCTGAAGACCAATTTCCCTAGACACAGTGTTAATTGTGAGAGGCGAGACAGTTGGATCTAGGCTGCATTAATTAAGAAGGTGGTGGAGGTGGGTAAACAGGTAGGTCAGGTTTATTTACAATAACGGATCACAGATAGTTGGGAGTTAAGAAGCCTACCATACTGTTCTTTACGTTACTTTTACAGACGATGCGAAAAATTGGTATGAAGAAGGGTTTGGTCTATGACGGACTGGCTGAGTATTTAACCGACTGACTTACAAGAAGTGATAGTGTTTAGACCTATTCAAACTTTTTCAAAACAATGGAGGACTTTTAACTTTATTGCTAAAAGACCCACTCATTGCCAATTTCACAAATGTGAGGAGCGCACCTTTTTACTTTTAGGAGACTTTATGTATTTTGTACGAGTGTGTGAAGTGGACTGTTGACGTAATTGTTCAATGCAAATTGTCTATTTATTAATAGCTAACTAATTACAACTGCAATATGCCTACTCAATACATCCTAATAAACTGCCATGAGTTCAAGAGAGCTCTATCCTCATATGTTCACATTAGAATGGGAAAGAAAGCGATGTGGTTTGATGATATTCCACTAAGTGTTGTTTCGCATACTTTCTTGACACTAGCATTGGGCAGTCACACGATCAAATCCAAAGTGAGATAGGAAATTAAGAAATAAAAGTAAAGTCGAAATTGAGTTGACTGAGGCTAAATTCTTGGTTTTTAGAGACCAAATATTTAGCAAATACAAACTTTGCTTGCCCTGTTTGTAGAGTATTGCTGATTATTATGTCAACTTGTAAAGCGTTTTAAAGTGTTTTACAATCATTTATCTCTCATACAGCCTAAAATCCTGCGTTTTCCTTAAATTCTTTATTTCAAAAACAGTGTGAAGCCTTTTAAGGAAAAAAATACTTTAAACTAAACTCCTGCTACTATGCCCTTGACTGTAAAAGACAGAAGACAACTTTGACCACTTGCTGATCAAGTCCTCGGCAATCTCGGCAAATAGTGAGGAACTCTTATGTCACCTCACCTATTCTGATAATTGCAAAAAAATTGAGATCTATATTGTGAATAGTAATTTGATTTCACAGATCGAGGCAATAAAAAAGCAACCGAACCCAATCATTTGTTCTGTAGAGGAAAATTAGAATGTTGCAAGTTAAACGAAAACGGAGTAAAGGCTACGTATCCCTTCGTCATCGAAAATAATCCAAGTTTTTTGCAATTATTTGACGACCATGTGCAAAAAATACGCTCATGGCATATTGGCAGCACTTTGGATTATCAGTAAGAACATCCTTAAGATGTGTGATCTCTTCTACCTCATCCCTTCCTTCTAGAGACCAAGTGCAACCACTACAATCCAAGGAAATAGCACATAATCCGATTGTGTTTAATTTTACCTCCACGCAAGTGTTGAGGGAGAGCGCATCAACAACAGCTTTGATATTCAAACTGTGGAAGTGCAAGCATCTGTTAAACTAGCATTTCATAGGACGAATGTGTGTTCAGGAAATTCAACCCTCATTCCTTACAAATCTCCCATTGAGTATCACAACTGAGACCTCTTACTACGTCTCAGTGATAAAACGGACTATTTTTGACTCGGTCGAAATAATGGGAACACGATTCTACTAGTCGAAGCATTAATGAGCTAGTTTGCTTCCTGTCAACTGACTGGACCTTCATTAACATGTACACTGGCTTTCATTTACTATTGCGCGCAGAATGGTGCTTGCAATCGCATATTTAGGGCAGATATCTGTCATATGAGTGGATGTAAATACGTCAAGCAGGGACGTTGAGTTGGATAGCCATGAAAAGTGTGTATGGCTACCATCGCGGTGCTGCGTGTATTGGTAGTTTAAAATTCTGTGCCATTTTCACCACTAGTAGTCGGTGTGCACATAATGGACTAGTTGAGACACTTTTAATCTGGATGGGTAGGAGCAATTATTCGATGTGTGCGCGGGACAGCAAGGACGATGAAGCTAATTGCTTGTCAACGGCAGCACATGAAAGACGGTCGCGGTGATTTCTGGTACACGGCGCACCAGTCATTTGCGTGAATGTTGAGAATAGTGTGTCAATGATTGAAGGAAAGCGAAGGAGAAAATGATCATTCTGGAGCATAAAAATATTGGTAAATGTTGAATGTCAGGACGCGCTGCGTAAAGTGAAGTCCTGTAGCTTTGTTCTATGAGGAAATCAAGATGATTAGAATATTGGAATGGACAAACCATGCGTACAAGTCTCTTTTTACGAAAGCTGCTTGCTGAGTGGTAGCTAATCACCGGGAGAAATGTGCGGAAAAATGAGTTGCTAATTTTTGGAATGCGTTGCCTCCCGTGCTAAACTCCATAACTCGGATGCTTTTTGCAGGATGAGACATGGCAACAACAGCAGTAAGCTGTGCAAAGTAGACTTTCAAAAGCAAAATCATCTGC